TTTTTTTTTTTTTTTTTTTTTTTTTTTTTTTTTTTTTTTTTTTGCTTCATGGTAATCATGAATATTCTTAATTGTTGTTTTTTTTATCTCATAAACAAACCTGTTGTAAAAAATTAACAATTTAAAAGATTCTTCCTATTTTTCTGTCGTGCTTTATTGAAATTAAAAGGTTTCAATGTGATAAAAAGAAAAAGTGATGGTTTAAAATTATGAAATTTTATTAATATTAATTGTTAAGTTTTAAATAAATAAATTAGAATAATTAGGGGATATGATCTCAAAATGCGGGGTAAAACGGAAAGCGGGGTAAAATCATCACCGAAATCTAAAGATTGCAATCTAAAGATCTACGCCTAACAAATAGGACCTGTTACATTAAAAAGGTATATTTTTTTCTCAAATAGGTTTTATTCGTTCAATAATTTTTTAACAATAATAAGTAGTAACCTAAAAAAAAAAAAAATTGTTTAAAAATTATTTGCTATTTATATTTAGTAAAACCAAAATGTACGTTTTTTTTTTTTTTTGAAGTCCCACTTTTTTTTTTACCTTTATTTGGGAGATGAGAATCGGGTACACACATTCATTGCCCCACACAATATTAACAAATTTCTTCGATAATAATTATTATCATTGATGTGGGGTATTGATGTGGGGAAATGACAAGAATATAAAAAAAAGGGGGTAAAAAGAATATAAAGTAAAGATGATCCGGGCTATTTCGCATGCGCATACATTAAATTACATACGTGATATAGACCATTTATTGTATTAAATGGTAAATATAATATTTACAAGTATGGAACTGTATGGTCATTGGTGAAGGAATTGTTGGCCAAAGCGCAATCGTACCGGAATTTCTTCGTTTGAAAAAAAAATAAAGATTTACATGTAGGCGTACACACGTGTGTCAAATATTTGAGTTGCACGGACCAAGAATGAATAGAAGTTGATATTATTATTAAATGACGTTAATGACGTTAATGACGTTAATTAAAGAAACAAATTCTCAAATTAGGATATCGTATCCTGAGTAAAATAAGCTATTACCAATTCGAGTAAATTTTTTAAAAAGTTAGTGGCTGATTGCATATTACGTAGAAGTGATATTTATTAAAAGAATGAATGGATGTTTATAAAAAGCATAAACATTGTCTTCTGATAAATTTTAACTTAAAAAATCCATTATATGTCGATAGTTATTTAATACATATATTAAATATATGTACAAAATATTAAAGCAAACAAGAATACCATAAAAAGAAATAAACTAAAAAACATTGGCTAATTTTTTTGATTATAAAAGGAAATTAATATGAATTCTTGTTTTTGATTGTTTTTTTGTGAGATACGATTGTTGTTAAAATGAAAATACTTTTTAAATTTATTATTGTTTTTTTTTTTTTTTATTAATCATTTATGGAAATTTATATTTGTGAATATATTAAGAATTATAAAAATTTTTACCAAAGATTTCAAAGATTTGATGATTAATTAATTACTAGTATCAAATTTATTACAATGTTTTAAAAAAAATCGATTATAATCATTGCAAACAAAGTACAGTATAATATGTTTTATCTTACAATATCGGTTAATAAGCGGTGATATATTTATTTTTTTTTTTTAGCGTGGCAAAATTAATTTTCCTTTTGTTTAGGCAGATTGCTTTTTCAGTGTACAAACAAAAAGTATCCGAAATGTTACATGGCTTGCACCTGCTTTTTTTTAATATGACGAAAAACCAAATATATTAAAGGATAAATAAATAATACATCATAAACAGAATAAATCAATTGTTTGATATTTTTTCATTGTTCTTTTATGATATGTCATACAACACTACCAATACCAATATTTGGTATATTAGTATATTGGTATATTGATATATTGGTATATATGATTTATTGGTATATTTGATATATTGATATATTGGTATATTAGTTAGTATATTGGTATATACCAATATATCAAATACTAATATACCAATATACGGCTAATATACCAATTACCATATACCAAAATATTACTTCCCCCAATATTACCAAATACCAATATTATTAATATTATTAATATTATTATTGTTGATAGTGTTGATAGGGTAATATCGCACAACGTAAAATGTTTTTTTTAAAAAAAACGGAGAAATTAATTGTATTTTGCCTCGGATAAACAACACATCATTTGTATAAATATAGTATAATAACTGATTATTACAATAAAATAAATTGTTTTCCGTTATCAAATATAATCTTGATTGAGGCTTATATTGGGTCTTATCTAGCAATATCTATTTTCCAAATTTTATATTATGAATTTTTTTTCTGTTAAGGAAAAAAAAGTTACTGTGATTTTTTTTTTATCGAATAAAATATCGAATAAAATATCGAATAAAATATTGAATAAAATATTGAATAAAATATTGAGAATGAGATATTGAATAAAATATCGAATAAAATATTGAGAATGAAATATCGAATAAGATATCGAATAAAATATTGAATAAAATATCGAATAAAATATCGAATAAATATCGAATAAATATAATAAATATCGAATAAGTAAAATATAATAAATATAATATAATCATTTAGTCATTCTCTTGATTATAGAGAAATTTGAGGTTAGATTAAGCAATTGTACATGCTTATATTGTACATATATGAAACCCTACAAACCACAGTAACACTACGGAAACATAGTTACATAATGTTCTATAAAGACATTTTCATCAGTTTATATAATTTTGCATATTTTTCTTATTGACAATTTTTTTAAAACACCATTTTAATATTTTTTTCCTTTTATTCCCAAACATTTTTACATATTCTCAGGGTAAAAGAAATCCTTTTTTTTTTTTTTTCTCCTAATTTTTTTATTTATTTGTTTGATGTGTGGGATTTCTCAAAATAGTATGGGCGTATTAGCAGTAGATCATGTGCTCAAACACGAAACAAAAAATTTTCTTTTAATTGATAATTGAATATTTAATTACTATTATTATTTATGCAAGACATTACAGACAAATTAATACAATTAATCCGTTAATTTTAAAACATTTTCTTTGTTATGTATCGCGTGGATGATGATCAGTTTCCTGTCGGTTAAACCTAAACTATACGGAATAATTTTGGTGACGTAATATAAATTGCATTAATTTTCTGATATAAATTAGGGATTTAAAGTATGATTCACATTACAATGATTATTTTTTTTAAAAAGTTTTAAAAACATAATACACGAAACTAGAAGAAAGAAAGAAAACTTTGTTATTTGAAATTTATTTGAAATTTTTCGGATATTTGAAAATATTTTGTATCATAAACAAAAGAACAAATTAATTAATTACAATGCGTCAGCTAAAAAGAAAGTTTTAAAACTTATTATTATTATTGTTGTTTAATTATTATTTATAAAAACATTTATTAAATTTTTATTTTATCCAATCAAAAGAAGAGATTTTATAAGAATAAAGAAATGTCCTTGTCAAAGTTTCCTTGTCAAAAAAGCTTTGACTTTTTATAATTTGTAATTAGTATTACCTTAACATACATGCTAAGTGGCACACACCATTTTTTTATGCGTTTCAGTTGTGTGGGATTGACACTCTTATTTGATAAATAGTGTGACGATACATACGATACATCAGATGATAATAAAAAATTCCTTTTTATTTGACACGTTATGTGAGAGGGTATATAAGTTACACAATTGTTTTTCTGATTTTTTAAGGTAAGATTAAAGTGTTTCATACAAGAAAGTTTTTGGCTTCGTAATGTAACTAATGTATTAAATTTTTTTTTTTTTATTTTTTTTTTAAAAAAAAAAATTGATTTTTTCTTAGTAACGCATTTCTTTATTAATTTAATTAATAAATCACAATTACAAATTAAATAGAAATACCTAAAATAATGAACTCATAGAGTATATTATCTTTACAACTAAAAATCTATCTTCTATTTACACAATGAAATTCGGTAAACCGAATCTACCGGTTCCACTAAAAATATCTGGTTTATGGTATAGTGAAAAAATTTCGATATATTGAAAATCTATTATACAGAATTTTTAAAAAAATTTTCATGCTAGTAAAACTAATATATACTATATTTTAATTGTTCATCATAGTTTTAAGTCATAGAGGTCATGAAAATGAATATAAAATATATAAGTAATATATAACTTCAGCCGGAATTAAGATTTTTGTAATTCCGGCCAAAATTAAGATTTACTTAAATTTTATTGGTTAATGATCACGTGGTCCGGGTTATCGAATCATTTTTACCTATAGCTGATTAGAAAATTGAATATCGAGCTTTTATTAGTAAACTCTGGTAACTGAAACTATTTTAATATACGTGATTTGGTTCCAGCAAAAAAGTCCGGTTTAGGCCCAAATCCGGTTTATCGAAGATCCGGTTTATTGATCTAAAGAAATATTGGCCATATTGTTAGCGTTACTTGCTTTTCTATTTCATGTAATTTTTTTTTATAATCATTGTTTTGTTATTATTATAACTTTCATCCTCACCATTCCCTTCCTTTTTCGTTAAGTCTATGCTCTTTTTCTATTTCTATAACTTTGATCAATCCAAATTTTGTCTTTAATACTATCAAAACATCTCAATAACCATGTCAAACTTTAGATCTGCCAATGAATATTTTTGATTACTCTCTGATTAGCATGATAAAATCAATCTCAAACATTTAATTTTATCATGAAGACCTTGTGCAAGTAATGCCTCTTCATATGTTACTAAATTATTTTCAAATTTTACTTTATTATTTTTTTTAAAAAACGTAAGATATATATTATATAAAACGATAAGCTGTCACAATTTTCATTTCCTATTTTTAAGACAATAGAGCTTGACATTGAATCAGCAAATATTATTTAATNTTATCTTTTTCTTTTTTTTTTAATTGAATTCTTTCAAATATTTGAAAGAATTTAAAAACGAAAGACCAAAACAAAAGTTTTAACATTCTTGAAAAAAAAAACCTTTTTTTTCAAACAAAACGAACAAAAAAAAAAATTAATTTTTTGTTCAAACTCGAAATTCAACGCTTTCTCGGAAAAACAAATTCGGAAAATCAAATAAATTAAATCAAATTTATTTTTTAAAGCTTTTCAATTTTCTCCGACTTTATAAAAATGCCTTCAGCTAGTAACAACAACATCCCTACCAGTTTACCAAAGACAATGAGAGAATACGAAGTTCTCGTTATTCCTTCATCTCCAACCAGTCCAACTGGACAATATCATCAACCTCAACCTCAACAACCCATGCTTAGAACTAAAAGGATCAATTGTAACCAGACTAATGGTACCATCTTTTGGATTCCTGATGGATACAGACCTGTATTAGTACGTACCTCTGATTTACCTTTACTTGTAGGTGCTGAGTATAATTTACCATCACCAAGTAATTCTACTGGTTATACGAGTTCGGATGATTCCAATTATTAAAAAAAAAAAATCATATTCTCAGAAAAAAAAAAATTTATTTCAAAATTTTGTTTAAAAAAAGTATTTACAATTTTTTTTTTTTGAGATTTCTTTGATAGATATTTAAAAAAAAAAAACCTTTCTTTTATAAAAACCTTCATAACAAACATTAATTCCGTATATTTAGTATATAATTGTTTTTTTTTTCTCAAATCAAAAGACGTTGCTTTCAATATTACAATATTCCTTGATTATATATCAAATATCAAAGAATCACAGTTATATCTAAACATAAATATATATATATATCTTTTTTATCAATTCTTTCCGTTTCAATTTATAGAATTTGTAGATATTGTTTATTTTTATTCCCCCCTTTTTTCTTTTTTAAAAAAACACAAAAATTTCTTTATATTGTAAATCTTTTTTTTTTTAAAGAAAAAAATTCTAAAATAACAAAAAAAAAAAAAAAA